TATACATTTTAAATACTTGATCTTACGGAACACAAGCGAATGTTGATTATAAAACTTATGTTTATACTGTTAAATAATCTTTCCAAATATCTTGCGAAGTGAGAAATTAGGAACATTTTGTCGTTTCCTTGCAAATAAGGTAAATTTCACCAAACAAAATCCTCCAGAAATACTACTCGACTGCCGTCTCATGGAATTTTAAGAAGGATTTTGTTTCGTGAAATTTAAACGCATAACAACAAAATGTTCTCAAAAAATTATCACTGCTTGTGGCATTACCCTAGATAATGCATCTTATCATTCTAGGCAGCTTATCAAGATGGTTGATGGACAATGACCTGTGCGTTCTTGAATCTTATGCAAAGGTTAATCTTTAAGAAGTCATCAAGACAAATTTGACAAACAGTATGCTGTATATATAGAATGGACCATGTTCACATGTGAGATATGCTGTTTAATAAATTTTATTGTAACAGTTAGTCGCTATACAAGTTATTCTACATAATCAGTTTGTTAAAAAAAGCCAAAATTTTTTAAATTAAAACCAATTTAAAATTTGAAATGTTTACGTCATCGGGAATAGACCAATCAGCTTGGTTGAAGTTTTTTTTTGTTATACAGAACCAAGCCAACGTACAAACCGACACACAGAATGTCGAAGTGAACGCACATCTAAGTGATATCTAAAATTGACACAACCTAGACCACCTAACCTAACATTCGTTTTTTGTTTTGTATACTTTTTTTCTTAATTCTACATTTATTTCTTCTCTCTTTGCTAATTGGTTTAATTTTATTATTAATATGAGTTTGTCAGCTGGATTTATAAAAGTTGATTCAAGTGTTTTACCCATTGTAAACCAAGATATGATTACCGAGATGATTACTGCATTTTTAAAGAATACTCAGTTTATAAAAGACAGAAAGGTATGTAAGACTTTATTTATAATTTGTTTTAATAGTAGTTACAGTTTATATGGAGCAATACACCTTATAGTAAAAACATATTTATCTCAGGTCATTAGGGTTGTCGAACAGTAACAGTTTTTCAAAAATAAACATTTTACCTGTAACCTTTACTTCATTTATGTATTACCTGAGAAATGGCGAATTTGTTATTGTATAAAACGAGTTCATACAATTTGCTTACCTCAAAAATTAAAACTAAATAACCTTTAAAACTATTTAAAAAGCTAGTGCACATGTATTTACTGTAATACCATTTTTATTTGGTCGAGAATTACCTACTTGTTATATGTCTAGTAAACAATTGTAATATAAGTACATTTTTGTGTATGAATGACTACTTTTTGTAAATATATTCTTTCTGTTACAACTATTATACACATATCTAGTATTTACATGAATAAATCTACGATAATATTTTATAAAATAATTTGGAACATAGAAAAGTAATAAAAATTGAAAAAAATTGGAATTCATAAAAATGTACTCTTGAAAATACTAAAAAAATCATCACATTATTAAATATGTTATTATTTTTAGATCTGCCAAGCAAGTATAAGGAGATAATGCGATTTCCCATGAATAACTTGAGAAATGGAGATATTTGCCCAGTAAACGGAATAATTACACATGAACAAAAAGTATTTTGCATTGTTTTTTCCACATTTGAAGTAAATACTGAAGTCGATAACAAGTTGAATTTGATAATGAATCTATAGAGGACATTTTAATTTGACATCTCCATTATTGTTAGGGCTTGTGCATATATTTTTTTATTATCTGTAAATAAAGTGTTTTTTACTTTGTTTATCTTATTCAGGTATTTTTATTTTTTAATAATAGGTTAATAAATAAAATTTTCACAAATTTTACATTTTTGTTTATTATTTAGTCTTACAAAGTGAGTTCTTTTAAGTTAAAAATACCACTAATTCACACAGAAATGTAAAAGGTTTATGTAAGCTACACTTTTCTTCTCATAAATATTGAGGATTTTAAAAACAGTTGGGCAATCCTAAATATACCTTCAGTTTATTTTCAATTTTGAGAGTTCATTGGTTTTGAAGATCCTGTTCATTACACAGGTTTACAAAATAAAAAAAAAATCCGGACTATTTGACCAGACCATGGTATTCCTAGGTATTTTGTTGTCCTGAAACCAATCCCTGGGTCAGTTTTGCCCCATCACGTCAGAAAAACTAGATTTTAAGGTCATTTAGAGGTCAAAATGGTGATTTCTTTTGGAACTGGTTCCGGAACAATTTCTCAAGCGATCTGTTAAGTTGAGGGGTAACTATGTGGGTCTTGAATACATTCCAAACATTTGAAACGGTTCCTATATCCCGACTAGGACCAGCGCAGGGCCAGCCATTTGGGTAAAATGTTGTCATGAGCATTGTATCTCGCGAATTTCGATCTCCCTGCCAAGGTGTTTAATTTCGGCGAACCATTTGCTGTGAGATAATGTCAGTGGAACCAGCACTGACCCAAATGGCCCTAGGACCTTGCCAAAACATTGGAGTTATGCTAAAGTTGTTCGAGGTATTCGAGCTCGTGAATTTTGCTTCGCTTGCCAACAGTAGAATTTTGGCAATTGAGTCAAAAGTGCTTCTAGAACATCGTCCAAAAATTGGGTGAGACTGAGTATACTGCCAGGGGCAAACTGAGGTTGCAGAAACTAACCCGAAGATCCCAACCCGCAACTTCAGAGTTAGTCACCCCCTGAGCTAGTTCTCCACCTTGGGTCAGACCTGAGCGGGACACGAAGCATAACTCCAATGTTCTGGCAAGGTTCTAGGGCCATTTGGGTCAGTGCTGGATCCACTGGCATTATCTCACAGCAAATGGATCGCCGAAATTGAACTCCTTGGCAGGTAGATCGAAATTCGCGTGGTACAACAATCATGACAACATTTTATCCACATGGCTGGCCCTGCTCTGATTCTGGTCGAGATTTGGGGACCGTTTCCAATGTTTGGAAGGTATTCAAGACCTTTATAACTTCACAGATCGCTTGAGAAATTGTCCCGGGGTCGGTTTCGAAAAAGCACCATTTTAACCCCTAAATGACCTTGAAATCTGGGTTTTCTGACGTGATGGGACAAAACTGACCCCGGAATTAGATTCAGGATGCCAAAATACCTAGGAACACCATGGTCCGGTCAAATAGTCCGGACTTCTTTTTTTTTGTAAACCTGTGTTATTAAATCCCTCTGAATCAGATATTAAAGATGTTTCTTCTGATTCAGACAAAACTTCACTATCTTTAAAACTTTTAAGATGTTTCGAGGTAGGTTCTTGAGGTAGGGTTTTAGGATATACACCTTCGAACTTATAGTAGGCGCATTTTAAATTAACCGAAGGGGGCAATGTCAGAAATTGCTGCTGCATCTTGAAGATCCGGTGTATGTTTATTAGATAGAGATGAAAAATGCCTCTAGTAGAAGGTTATTTTCCAGCCATTTTTTTTTTCTGTTTTTCTTTTTTTAACCGACTTCAAAAAAGGAGAAGGTTCTCAATTCCTCGCGATATTTTTTTATGTATGTTCAGCGATAATTCTTCAACACGGTGTCCGATTTCAATAATTATTTTCTGTTAGAAAGGACGTACTTCAGGGTGGTCCCATATAAATTTGGTCAAAATATAATAATTAGGTCTGTGAGAAAATCCTCAAACTCTTCATTTTTTATGTATGTTTAGCGATAATGCTTACCACCTTGTCCGATTTATATGATTCTTTTTTTGTTAGTAAGGGGATACCTCAGGGGTGGTCACATATAAATTTGATTAAGATGTTATGACGGCATCGGCACGTTTTTGAAGTCGGTTTTTTTAAATTTTTAATTTCTAATACTTGTTTGTAGAATCAGTGAGCTCTCTTGTGTAGTGAATAAGAAGAATGGAGATATTTGTGTGGTACTACCCACTTCTTATATGTAAAGGTTTACCCATCATTTAAAAAATAAACAGATTTCAAAATCATCTGGTTTCTAAAAAAAAAAAGAAAAAACATCGTTACTACAATGATAGATAATTGAATAATTAAATTACAATAAAACATTTTTATTTTAATAAAGAGTATAGATACAAACCAGAACAAAATAATTTAGCTGTTGCGTGAAGCGTTTCTGTGTAACGATAATAATTTTCGTCCTTTCATATTTCTAGCAACACTAATAAATATTTTTAATAATGAATGTAAAATGTAAATCATTATCACATCTTGGGAGGAAACATTTTTTTTATACTCATAATATTTATAAAAACATAAAAATTGCATAATCATCGATTGACAACACAAAAATTCTTGATTCACAGATGACACATGCAGTGATGCCGCATTTCCATTTTCTTGTTTATTAGTTGTCGTTTTTTAAAACAATAAAATTATAAATATGGTGAAAGTTTAAACATAAATAATATTTTTAAAAACATTTGATATTTTATATTTAAAAGATATTTGTTTAACGATATTTTAAAAGTCTAAAAGTAAGACTGTGCACACAAACGAACGTATATTACTTTTCGTATACCGTCTAACTGGCAACGTTGTGTGGCTAGTTCCTATTGGTCTATTCCCGGTGACGTCATAAATTTTAAAAAATTAATAACTCTAGCAAATGAATAGATAAAAAAATTAAATGTAGCTTTATTTTGAACTCTATTATTCATAAAAAAAATTTCAAAATTTTTGAACATGTTTCATTGCTGAATAATTTGGTTATACCGTTTTAAGGCAATAACGTCAAAATTAAAGACCAGTCAAAGGAAGCTGCCCTACATAGTATGGGTCAAGAGATGAAATTTATACATTCAGTCAAATCATTTTAGGATTTCTTGTACGTCAAATTTGGAAATAAAAACTTGATATTGCCTGTGACTGAAGTACATTTTTAGTAGTTTCGTAATAAGAAATGTATTAATTATCTAGATAATTTACTAAAGATAAATCAAATCATTCTTATGCGCCCAGACTAATTTATCTCGCCTCTACCAACCTCTATACTCTTTTACCCACACTATACCAATCAGCTGTTTGCATGTATTATTTAATTTTATTAATTTTCATAACCTCTTTCAGTAGTTAATTTTTATCATTGATTTAAGTTTTATCTTGTGTACAAAGATATAAAAAGGATGCCACATAATACTCGTATGTTAATATACATAATATATAAACCATCACGCATTTCATCTTGGCTCATTGCATAGTAGTTATACCCAACAAACTAAGCACAACAATATTATAGTTTTACCGGTTTTAAATTTTCACGCGATATTCATTAATTTAAAAATGTTTGTAATTTTACTAGTGATATTGATACCATTGGTAATATTTTATCAAATACAAAGAAGAAAACGGTATGGTGAATTTTGGAAATATGTTATGGCTATTCCTGGGCCAAAAGGCTACCCTCTGGTGGGTACGAACAATATATTTCACACGCAAGGTAAATTTATTAAATAAATACACACAATAATTGCTTTCTGATTGTCTAAATATTTTCATAATTTAAAATAATAATTTGTTAATACAAAATAACTGGAATGAGAAAAAAGGTATTTTATCACCTGCTTCCTCAATTAACTGGTATAACGTTTGTGAGAAATAATACATAATTAAACTAATCTAAATATTTTCTTTCTATTATTTTTTTCTTACAAAAATATAGATTTTCAAAATAAAATATTTTCATTTAAAAACTTCTCCCAAAACTAACAATTGATATAATTTTTTAATTAAAAAACCGACTTCAAAATCGTACAGGTGCCCTAAAAAATTGAGATTTTTTATTTTCTCATAATTCGTTAGATCCTGACCAATTGTATGTGGAACTACCTTTGAGGTATCCCCTTTGTAACAAAAAAAAGGAACATAGAAATCGGACAACGTGATAAAAAATTATGGCTGAAAATAGATTAAAAATTAAGAGTTTGATGATTTTCTCATAGACCCCATTAATAGATTTTAACCAAATTTTAATGGAACCACCCCTGAGGTATCCCTTTACTAACAAAAAACGAATCATAGAAATCGGACAAGGTGGTTAAGAATTATCGCTAAACATACATAAAAAATGAAGAATTTGAGGATTTTCTCATAGATCCAATTATTTGATTTTGACCAAATTTATAGGGGACCACCCCTAAGGTACCCCGTTACTAACAAAAAAAGAATCCTAGAAATCGGACAAGGTAGTAAAGAATTACAGCTAAACATACATTAAAAATGAAGAGTTTGAGGATTTTCTGATTTTCTAATAAACCCAATTCTTAGATTTTGACCAAATTAATATGGGACCACCCCTTCATTTTTGATGTATGTTTAGCGATAATGCTTTACCACCTTGTCAGATTTATATGATTATTTTTTTGTTAGAAAGGGGCTACTTCAGAGGTGGTCCCATATAAATTTGGTCAAAATCTAAAAATTGGGTCCATGAGAAAATCCTCAAACTCTTCATTTTTTATGTATGTTTAGCGATAATGCTTTACCACCTTTTCCGATTTATATGATTCTTTTTTTGTTAGTAAGGGGGTACCTCAGGGGTGATCCCATATAAATTTGGTTAAGATGTGGTGATGGCATCTGCACGTTTTTGAAGTCGGTTTTTTTAAATTTTTAATTTACACTTGTTTAAAATCGGTTAAAAATACTAAATCAATTTTTGAATTTTACAAAATGTTAAAAATCTCACAAAAAAGTATACCTTTTAAATGCGCAGCGGGTCCGAAAATCTCTACTGTAGTCGTATAAATTGTATCTTATGAAACCTAAGAATTTCGTTCAAAAATATTTTTATTGTATACAGAGTGCTTCAATAATATTGTTATAATTTAAATGTCAAAATTGACGTATTTTAAAACAAGAGTAAGTATATACAGGGTGTCTCATTAAAAATGGGATACAGAACAACTGAAGAATTTCTGATAAAAATAAGACGAATAAATGAAATATGTTTGGTTGAAATTTTACTCCCTTCCAAAATACACGGTGTTGAAGTTGAAATCTCAAAAATTTGTAATGGCTATAATTTTTTATTCCTTCTAAATTTTACGCCACTCTTCAAAAACTTATTTGGAATATAATTTTGATAATAATAATTTTTTCATGTTTTTTAAATAAGTCATATATAGTAAGGTATATTCGTGATATAGGTAAGTTCGCGATAAATATTCAAAAATCTGCCACGATCTTACCCATTGCGATGGACCAACTGTTTTGCAGCCACGTGTACTGGAAAGGTTTGGCAACGTCCTATGCACCGGTAAATTAAGATTATGCTTCACATCCTTGTTAGTGGAAATAAAGATAACCATGTAGTATACCTATGTTACGCCGCTGACACACATGTTTAGATTTAAAAGTTTACGTCACTCTCTATCGCTGCCTGTCTACATTACACATTACCAATTGTTGTGTCGCTTGATTCACATCGAAAAACCGACCACATACTAGCGATTATAAAAACATGGTTAAAAACTATCATAAATCGTATTTCTAAATACAATAAATTGAAAAAGAAATGAAGGAATTCAGAGCATATACAATAATGTTTTTCTTTTTATTTACTGATTTTTAGCTTGCAGAAGATACTACTTTATGTGTAAATTTCTGCTTTTAGACGACAAATAAATATACAGAAGATACTACTTTATATGCTAACGGTGCAGTCATTCATAGAATCCGTCTGCAAAACGAAAAATGCTACTTAATGTGCAAATTTCGCAAAACTTTGATGAGGGCAAATACTACTTTATGTGCAAATTCTGCATTATAGACAAAGACATGTACAAAGGAGGTTACTTTATGTGTTAACTCTGATCTTATACTTATAAACTGCAATCTCGGCTAACTGCAACTCGAAAAATACTACTTAATGTGTAAATTTTATAAAACTTTGACAATACTATTTTAAATGTAAATTCTGCATTTAAGCCAAATAAATGTACAGAGAAGGCTACTTTATGTATTAGCTCTGATATTATAATTATAAACTGCAAACTTTGCTAATTGCAACGCAAAAAATGCCTCTTAATGTTTAAAGTTTGTAAAACTTTGGCTCCAGAAGATACTATTTTATGTGTAAATTCTGCACTAAAGCCAAATAAATATACAGAGAAGGCTACTTTATGTGTTAACTTTTTGCTTTTACTTATAAACTGCAAACTCGGCTAACTGCACCGCGAAAAATGCTACTTAATGTATAAATTTTAATGCGTAAATTCTGCATATTATTGCAAAATAAATGTACAGAGAAGGTACCACAGCGCATTTTAATTTTGCTTACTAAGAACAGATGGCGACACCATTTCACTACTTGAATTCTTATTCTCTTCGTAACCAACTTTATGGTATACTAGTGAAATGTGTAGCATTTGTTAATTCCATTAGAGACTGGAATTGAGAACCTATCTATTTCTTGCTGAGGAGTCCTAATAAGGACGGAACCGGTCCAAGAATGATGTTCTCCTTGGTGATCAAAATCAAAGTAGAGATAGTTGAAAATTAATTTCTATCTCTGCTGTCTTTCCTTCGGATGTAATTAAATGCCTGTTGCGGTATTAGCCAAAGGAGTAGTTGTTTTTTTTAAGGTAAGACGGTCGTTGTATTTTATGTGATATTGGCTTTGAGCTAAATTCATTTTATTTCAAATAATTAAATGTTTGGTAACTCTGGTCTTATGCTTATAAAATGCAAGGACGCAAAAATGCTACGCAAAGCTCATTGATTATATTATTGTATGGTTAAATTCTGCACCTTAAAAAAAATGCCCCCTTATGTGCACATGAATTAGCCATTGATTAAATATAGATTTAAGTTGATTCAGAATCAGAATCTAAGAGGTATATACATTAAACTCGACATTTTCACCAGAACAGACGCTCGAATAGTAAGGATCAAATTCAGTATCAGGATATTCTGGGAGCGGATCCTAATAGCAACATCTCTCTCGGAAAACCAATTTACGAAAAAATAGTAAAAAGTTGGCAAAATAATTGGAAGACGGTTTAAAGAATGGTAAAATATCAAAGTTTCTTCGCGAAATCAAAATCTGGAATACTTTCACTTGGGTCCCCCACCTTAAACTCCGAACCAAAAAGTTTAGTGACTAGTCACGTCATCAAATACAACCGACAGCTATTTATATATGCTGCAAGACCAACTTGAAAGGTAATGGGAAGTTTAGCTGAACCTCTGTAAGCTAGGCTTGGAGGGAACAGAAATAGACGCATCAAAACAAATTCAAATATAACAAAAGTATTATCAGACATCTACTATAGAATATATACATCGTAGGAACCTTATATATCCGTCTTTAAACAAAAATGTGAAAAATATGATAGAAAAAGCAGATATCGATGGTTTTTCATTTTGGAAAGAATTTTGTAGAGATATGGAAGTCAGACAAAGCATTTGAAAAAACTGGCATACATTTAATTTAAAGGCACCAACTAAAAGCAAACACTAATTTCAATCAGTCTTTAAACTTCAGGCACCTAATTTTAAATAGCGACTGAAGAAAACCAGGCCAGAGAAAGAGCAGGAGAAATAAAAAAAAACCAAAGGACGAATCAACAAGTATTCAGAAAAACAGAGAGGGGAAAAGGAGTTCTTAGGGAAGGAAATAAAGGTAAGAGAGATTGCTGGTAGAATAAATTTGAATAAATTTGTAAAACATGTGGGCTAACTTAACTAATGATAAGAAGGTCCTAAGATTTGTTAAAGGTTTTAAATTAATCTTTAAAACACAAAAGGATGTTTTCTCTTAGAGAAAAAACTAACCTATACACTTCATTTAAAAAAAAGTACTAAAGAATGCAACAGGTGTTTGCTTCCTAAAGAAAATTAGTTTGGTTCTCATATTTTTTAAGACCCAAATCTGTGATCTGTAGAACTTCTGTTTTCAACGCGGTGGGCCAGGGTTCGATTCTGCCCCATAACTTTTTTTTATTTCATCTTTAACAAATATATAGATTCTCGCATTTCAAACTGGAAGATCTCAGGTCTGCCCAGAATATTTTGTTACAGGACAATTTTGTCAAAAATTAAATTATCTCTTATCTCATCTTAATACATAAAAAATAAGGAAAGTATTTGAAAAAAAAAATTGAGTGTCTTACATTTGGTTTGACCATTTGCTCCATATGTTGCAAACACTTTAAAACCGGTAGTTCATCAACTAAGGCTTTTGAAAATTACCTTAATGATTTAATAATTACATCTAAATCTAGTGATGAATGTCTCAAACATTGTAATACAAAGGTTGATTCTTTGCAATCTCCATGACTCATTATAAAAAAAGTGTTTTTTATCTAAAGTGTGGGAGAACTCGATTGTTACGTAGCTGATGCATTTCTTTTATAAGTACTAAAATTATAAAGACCAAGCAGAAGGCATAGTGATTGTACCAAAATGGGAAACCCAACCATCCCATATTACAAAAACAAAAAAAAAATAAATAAATAAATAAATGCCTTTTACGGTACATGTCAACATTAAACCTAGTTATTCACTGCAGCAAACCTTCATTTAGAACTCCTTATGACCAGAGTTCTGCCCTAGCTCTCATTATAAATAGTCCCTAACTTTCATTATAAAAATCCTGAATAATAAAAGAAAATGTATATTAGGAAATTTCTAAAAGGGTCATCCTATTTTTCCAAAATGTATTCAAACTTGAGATCAAAACACCGTTTTAAAATACTTCAGTAGTTTCTTTCACTTGAAAAACTTAAAACAGCTAAGAACCAAACTTGTTATGCTTGCAACCCAACGGGTATAGACTTTCTTAAAAATTAAAGTTGAAAATGTCAAGGTGCAAGCTAACAATATACAAATTTTCATTGACGAAATGCTAAAACTTCGACTCCACAACGAGCCCAGTCTTTATTAGCATTTTCATTCCCCCATGATTTACCTCAATTTATGCTCGGCAAAAACAAGTCTCACAGGTCTTCAGGACCTTTTATTCTAACCACTAACGCTCCAGTCCATCCAGTATCTCCCCAAACTATTGGGTGGATAGCCCAAGCACTTAGTACAGATACGTGTATGTACCTCGACCGTCCTCATAATATGCGTCAATATCGAAAGCATTAGAAAAATTGTAGGATAAAGAGATTAGTAGTGTTTAACAAGTTTTACAATTAAGAAAAAGAACCAACGTTCGCAAAAGTATTAAAAAATTATAAAACTGGATTGTTAAAATTCAATATTATTTTTTGTTACGTTGGTTAATAATTAATTCATTAGTATTATTATTAATTATCACTGTTAATTTTGTGGGAAATTTATAGTAATATTTTTTTTTGCATATTCTATTGTATACATTTATGTAGAAAGCAAAAATCTAGTTTTATTTTGAATAGAACATCCTCTAAACAACTACATGGTTATCTTTATTTCCACTAACAAGGATGTGAAGCACAATTAATGGATCATACGACTTTCCTGAAGGAAGTTCGATCCTAATTATGCGAGCATCCTTGTTAGTGGAAATAAAGTCCCACCTCCACTATATTTATATTATTTTAAACCCCAAACTCCTAGGCTCCACAACAGGTAATGAGTAATATAGACAGGCAGCGATAGAGAGTGACGTAAAATTTTAAATCTAAACATGTGGGTCAGCGGCGTAACATAGGTATACTACATGGTTATCTTTATTTCCACTAACAAGGATGCTCGCATAATTAGGATCGAACTTCCTTCAGGTAAGTCGTTTGATCCATTAATTAGTCATGCTCTTGTACATGGACACAATTTGTTTTACAGTGTCGTTCTTTTCTATGGCGGAAACCAATATAGTCTACAGTCCAACCGTTTGTTGTTTTTTTTTTCTGGATATTGCAAAAGTACATTTTTCAAATTTACGTATTTTATTGCTTTTAAGTCGCACAATGACCCTGTCATGTCACACAATCAATTTTCGCTTAGTTTTTTGTGACAGCTTAAGTTGTGAAGCGGATTTCTTAAGTTTTTTAACGTTTCTTTGAGCTGGTAAATTTAACCGTGTGTTCGCTGTGCATTTTTTCTGGTTTTATTCGTATTTTTTTTTATAAATATAATAAATTCGTAAACTATAAGTACTAAACAATAAATATTTCGTAGTATTTCCAACATTCAAGGTATCACGAACTTACCTTCATATCACGAACTTACCTACTTCTTTATTTTTAGTATTAAAATGCCCATAGCATCTAAGAGAAAATGTCGCCAGTACGAAATCCCTGAATTGCTTGAAGCCGCAAGACTTGTAAAAGAGGAAAAAATGTCTATCTACAGGCAAGTAAATGAAGCAATATTCCCTGGAGCACTCTAAAAGATTCTTTAAATAGAAATGAAGGCGATAATCGCAAAGTTGCCAAATTATGAAGGCCGTTTGCTCTTACGACAGGACTCGAGACGCAGTTATTATAAAGAACTCGAGTTTGGATTAATAGTGCAGATGATAAGAAACATTGCTCATGAACTTGCAGAACATGCTGGACGAGACAATTTGTTCAATAAAGTAAACGATTCAGTTAGTAAATGGTGGTGGGCTCAATACAAAAAAGATTTAATTTAACGGTCCGTGTTCCTGAAAATCTGGCTGTTTATAGAGCCTCAATGTCAAATCCTGAAATAATGGAAGACTTTTATACAAAATTGGAAGTATTAATGATTAGAATTGGAGTTCAAAATAATCCAGATCGTTTATGGAATTGCAACGAAACTGGACTTTCTTATGTTGTCAAACCAAACCGAGTAGTGACCTCGCTTGAAAAGCGTTACGTCCACAAAAGAGCATATGCCGATAGTGGGAAGTCTCAAACCATGATGGGATGTATTTGCGCCAATGGAACATGGATTCCACCTTTATTAATTTTTAAAGGTGTCCGTTGGAACTACAGTTTAAAGCATGATTGCCTGCCAATTGCTCTAATAAAACTTTCGCCAAAAGGATGGATCAATAGTGATTTTTTTTGGACTGGTTTTGGTTCTTTATTGCATCAATTCCACCTACTCGGACGGTAATTTTATTTATGGATTCACATGCATCACACATCAATCCCCAAGTTATATCTCTTGCATTAGAAAATTATATTTATTTATCTACATTTCCGGTCCACACTAGCCATTTATTACAACCACTGGATATGGGCGTTTATAAAGCGTCAAAAGCTCACTGGTCTAAAAGCTTAAATACTTTTATAAAAGAAGCCTAATAGAACTAACTTTCATACCATACTGAATTCCGCGTTCATCTCAAGTTTTTGTGCATCAAACATTATGAATGCATTTAGAAAATCTGGAATATGCCCTTTTGATAAAAATGCCATTCCTAAAGAAGCTCTTGTGCCATCTCTACTAACCACTAATGAGACAGCTAATGATGGTGTAGCAGCTCCTACTCAACCAACCTCCGAAATTAGAAACATATTGACACTGCCGACGAAACCTTCTACTGCAAATCCGAATCGAAAGAAACGCGATTCAAGAGCAAAGTGCCTCAATACTCAAACCAATGTACAGTCTGTGTCAATCGACGAACCATCCACGTCATTATGTTTATCCCCATCACCGATCCCGCTAGCCGAAGCTAACCGAAAATCTTAGAATGCGGTTTCTAACAATGATGACTGGGACTGTGGAATGTGTGGTAGCAGTTATTCTCTAGATGTCAAAAAAAAAAAAACGGTGCCTTGTGGGTCCAATGTTCCTACTGCCTGGTTCCATACCACGTTCGAGCCAATCTTCAGATGCCAAAGAGGATGTTTTCATGTGCGATAGGTGTGGGCCCAATGAGGACACTAATGACGATTCTGAAGATAAATGATGAGTTGTAAAAATTAACATCTTATTTACGTATTTAACTATTCCTCGTTTCAAATAATTTAAATTTTATTTTACTTTAATGCTCAGAATTTTGTTTTATGTAATAAATGTGTTTTATTTTTTATCAGAAAACCTTATTATGTAATAATTTGAATATCACGAATTTACCCCCCTCTATCACGAAATTAAATATCCATATCACGAAATAACCTCACTGGAACATAATTTAATTTTTTTTTATTAGATTTACCAACATTATACATAAAATTGTAACAGTAACCTGTTACCGAGTGGTAAGTCTTTCCTCCTATAATATTTTTACCATGAAAACTTGAAACCGTTAACTCCCCTGAATAGAAAACCTAAAATCATCACGAATATACCCAATGTTTACCAAATTTAGTAAAATTATACAGAGATATAAAAAATATATAGCCGTATGTTCACATTCAAATACTCGTAGGTAGTTATTAGCTGTTTTATTTTGTAGAAATTTATAAAAATTCAATTAAATTTTAGAAATAAGTAATTTAATTAGACAGAATTGAGCCACCCACTACCCACTTGTAATGTAATATTTTTAAATTTGATTCTAAAAACATATTTTTAATATAGTTGAGCTAGTACGTGTCTGTCAAATAATGTACTTACTGATGTTAAGTTACTCAGGGGTAAATACTTTAACACACTTTCATATCACTAATTCAAATGGTTTGGTCCTTCTGAGCCTTCTCATTAGGTATAGGTTATCCAGGAACTGTAGAACTTTAATATTGACGTGATCATGCAGTCTTTTTTTTTATTTTTCTACGATGGTTTCCCTCTGTTCTTCGACTGTATGCATTCTCAGATATCTGTGCAGGTCTGAGTTCCTAACATACCAAGGGCCCTTATTATTTTGTTCTGGAAACGTTGTATTATATTTATGTTAGTTTTGTTGGCACACCCCCAGAGCTGTATGCCGTAAGCCCATACTGGCTTCAGTACTTGTTTATATAATAACTGTCTCTCGTAGCCAGATTTTGAGGTACATCGTTTTTTGAACATTTAAGACAGTTTGATACAGTTTTATTTTTGTAATCACAGGGATAATAATATATATTACATTTCAAAAAACATTTTGAATAAATGTGAGTAAAAAAAAGTCAAATATTTGTAAACTTTAATTTTAGAATCAATGTTTGAAGAAGATAGAGAGAGAGGAAAAACATATTTTCCTATTTACAAAACGTGGTCATTAGATTTAGCAAGCGTTGCTTTGATCATACCTGAAGACATACAGGTGAGTTTTCACAATTATTGGTTAATCGTACATTTTATTTAACCTTATTTCCGCAACCTGATTGGAATCTTCCAAAAAACATTGAAAAACCTTGGTACCTAAGTACAAATTGGGAGAGAAAGAATATTACTACTAGATCCAGTATAATTATGTATGATAAGATAAAAAGCAAATTTCTAAATATTACTGCTAAAGTTTGAACCAGTTGACAAGTACCAATCAACCAACTAAACAACCAATCAACCAACCAACGGTAAAAGTCAAAATAATACATGCACACAGGCCACTGATGTGGCACCTGGGCCGACATTGGGTCTTTCTCTCCTACTCTCAAGAAAAAAATATTGTATTGTCGTATGAGCCATTTTTAATGTTACGTTTATTAATTTTAAACAGTTTAATTACTCTAACACATATTCACCAAATATACCTACTTATTTTATAACTAATTTATTTTTACTCAAAACTGCATTGATTTATATTATTTACTTTACTTTAATTCTAAACTAATGTAAAGTAACGAAAAAGAATCCATTTATTTAATACGAAAATGTTGCGTTACAGACAAATCCAGTAATATCTTAAAGAATCTCGATAGTCTAGATGTTCTCGAAATCCTTCATTCACGAATCAGACCAAAAGCGAAACACAGACGAGCTGCTGATTGCGATAACGTAAACAGAGATTAAGGACAGACTGGTTGAAAATGGCTGACACGACAGTAATATATTAAAAAAGGAATATTTTATCTTCTATTTTTTCCGGTGAGAACATAATTTCTACGGTATTTTGTTTTGACCAATTGTCATCAAAACTGAATTGAACTGTGTGAACGCTCTGATCAGGTTTCAACTAAATAGGCATAAACAGCAGCAATGGATCAATACTTCTTTAAATTTTGAAATTAAACCGAACACATCGTCCATCAGACACTTGCTGCTTCTGTCCTTCCTTTTAATTTTGAAAACCCTATAACAATCCCCTTCGCCCAAGAGACATCCAATATGCCTGTCAATCAGGTCAAAACAACCCCAAAGCCTGGTTTCATTAACAGAAGAATGCTGAAAAACCTTCCTGAAATCATGTTTTCCATTCTCACCCTTCTCACAATTCAAATTCCCAAACATGGCGAGAGTTCCAAATCATTAGATTCATACCGTCCTATTTTTCTCATATCTGTAGTAGATAAATTCTTTGAACTCAATTTTAACATGGTTTTGACCCCATCAAATTGCTCAGGACGTTCTTACTTCGATCGATACAACTGCTGCCACAGCAGTCAATTTATATTAAATCTTCTTAGCCGTTCTGCTTGACGTTCAAAAAACTTCCCCACTTCAGATAATATAGATTGTTGCGACTGTACATAATATTTAAATTTGCAAGAAAAACAGGTAAATAATCTGTACAAACAGTATATTATAGCAAAAGTAAAAGTTGGAAAGCCTTTTGCTAGTTCTCCCACTTTATACACCTAAATTGGCAGGTTTGCGGCGGATCTCACCGAAGTGGATGCGATACATTGGCGTACTAAATTATTTTATAGATGTTAATAACAATTTCGAGTAAATAGTTTAATAAATTGTGAATAGCTGTTGAAATTTTGTAAAATTATGATTTGAATACATGGTTAATAATCTTTTATAGTCCATAATTACATGCGATTGTCCGGTTCCACCGATAACAATTTAAAATTACTTATTCTATGAAACGACACTGGCAGGTAAACATTACTGCGAAATACTCGAAGCCGTCCGACGTGGTTTGACGTTTACCCACTCTCTACCTACCAAGAGTCTTTCCAACTTTTTCTTTCGCTATACCAGGGGGGATATCGCGCAAAGTGTCATAGCGGCGATGATGTCATGCGTAGAGTTAGTAGAGTTGGCACCAAGTAAATATAATATGACAGACGCACGTTGCAGTGATTTGTAAGTTATTATTAGTGATTTATAACCTTTTAAGCGAATATCTGTATTATATTATAGTGTTCTTTGTGAGTGGCATTAGTGATAAACATTAAAAAATGAAGTACGCAATTTACGGATGTAACAGTAACAATCAAAGGAAAGGAGTTGAAAAAGAAGTTGTTTCTCACATTCTTCGACAGTAAGAGGTTAGTCAGAAATGGCCAAAGGGCGGCTCTAGTTATAGGTCCCAGGGAGCCTTGCTTCTTTCTTAATTAACATTTTTACATTCCATGAGGCTTTTTTTTTAAATATACTAAAAAGGGAAATGTTATAGACAATGCTACCCACTCCTCCTCGAAAATTTGACTAAGACGCCGTTGCTGTGGCCTGTGGCCATGCAGAAAATTGTCATGTGTGCTCCAAGCACTTTTAACCTTTTAATTATAAGATGGACCTCAAACCGACCTCACGTTAGTTCATTTGCAACTCAGGACTTCTTAACTGGGGACTCTACCCCTTTGAAAGCAATATATAGCAAAGGTAAAATTAATTATGTCGCAAAAAATAAAACTTCGGCATGTTGTAATTGATGAAAGAAAAAAAACTGTCAGTTACTAGGTCCAGGAAAAATGCAGTGACATTTTATTTTAATTTTGTATATACACTCACCATGTAACAGTTATTTGTATTGGGTACATTTATTTTTATGCTTTGTATTATATTATATGTATGAAATAGTATATTACGTAACAAGAATTGTAAGTAACCCATTACGCATGAAGTGAAAAAGTTTACGCACGAAGCGGCGCAGCGGCGAGTGCGTAAATTTCACGAGTGCGTAATGGACTTACAACTCGTGTAACGTACTATACTTTTTCTACGCCGACTTATTTTCTTCTATTAAATAAAGGACATACGCTTGTGTCGCAAATCCATACATTTTCGATAGGTAATTTCGTACCTTTCTTTGGATTTTAGTGGTAACAAATTATGTGTGGCATCTTGAGCTTTTTCTAAAATCTCCGGTGGAGTGCTCATAATTTCATCAGTTTTACTACTAACAGACATATACGTAGGTAAAGTTGAGAAAATGATCGAATACAATAATATTTTACAAACGAATTGACGTTTATTTCCATAGCATGCTAAGAAAACGCGACTTGGTTTTTTAAAATTGTATAATGTGTTGCCGTCATTTAGGGGCATCATATTTTTATTCCAAAATGTATCTCGCTAATGCTAAAAGTTTTTATGTTTTTAAATTCACTAAATTTATGTAAATAAACCAGATAAAGTCTTACGTAGATAAAAATTTGATTGCAATTTGATTAAACTAAAAAATTTAAGTTTTCTTATCAAAACGCACGTGTATGTTATGAGATCTCATTACGTGTATGTTTTTGTTAAATGTCATTTTTCTACGCCCATGTCAGTAAACATTAAAAATCGCACTGTCAACATTCCTTGTAAATTTTCTCAACTTTACCTGCGAATATGTCTGTTAGTAGTGAAAGCGATTAAATTATGAGCACTCCACCGGAGATTTTAGAAAAAGGTCAAGATGCCACACATAATTTGTTACCGCTAAAATCCAAAGAAAGGTTCGAAATTACCTATCCAAAATTTATGGATTGGCGACACAAGCATATGTCCTTTATTTAATAGAAGAAAATAAGTGGGCGTAGAAAAAGTATAGTACGTTACATGAGTTGTAAGCCCATAACGTACTCGTGAAATTTACTTACAACTCTTGTTACGGATTATACTATTATACCTCTTTCCTTAATAATATCTTTAGATATTTGATGCCATTTTTAAAATATTATCCTTTAATATTTATGAAATTTCTGTAAATAGCATTTAGTTTCCTCATACAGTATTTTTAAATTCCCGCCTATATAAACTCTACGCATGACGTCATGCGCATGGTCGTCCTATTTTTAACACAGTTGATATCCTACCTTCTATTTTTTATACCATGGTATCTTACTGGCATCAAGCTTGTTTACCAAGCTGATATATTATTATTTAATATTTAATAAATAAATACATGTTTTACATCACTACATAATGCTATGATAAATAAGTAAAACAAACTATATTAACGGAAAACCCAGTATTTACAAAATAATCAAATTACAGTATTAAGTTTAAGTAGTTTTCATTGAGAAATAGTTAAAAAAATAGTACACAAACAATCTTTTCTTCTAACATTGCAATATTCTTTTAAATATTCTAAATGAATTGAAAAATCATTGGAACACGACAGGCTATTCAATTCACGAGATACGCGTGTAAGTGGATTATAACAACCATAATTTGTTAAATGTCTATTGTCATATAAGAATGATCAATTCCTAGTTCTTGATATAAAATTAAAGTAAAATAAAGGCAAGCAGTTCCGGACAATTTTTTAACCCATTGAACAACTTATGTAAGAATAGAAAATCCGCATTATTCCTTCGTTTTTTACGAGAGTAAATATTGATTAATTCCAGAAATTTGATGCTAATATCTAGCTAGTTAATTCCTAGATTTGTCAATATCTGCCAGTTAATAGTTGTCATCGCACTCATTATTTCGTAGTACCATTAAGAGCAAACCGAACACCTCGAAAATTTCTATTTACTTTTGAGCCTTTATTGTTAGTCTGATTTTTATGAAACTTTCAGGGAATACCAATAATAACAAAACTTAGGGTGAACAAACCTTGACTTTTGTAAACAATCGAAAAGTATTTATTTTGATAATTTTTAAAAGAAATCTAAACAAAGAACATTTACGCGTCATTCTGTATTAAATCTGCTAATATTTGTTGCTTTTTGTTTTAATAAATAACTAGTGGTTTTCTTAAATGTCTTTGCAGAGTACTGCCTTATTGTTGCACAAATTAAGAGCTCCCGTTATTGCGCGCATATAAATACAATTTTATATTATGAAATCCACAAAACATTTTTGCTTTCGCAAGAGGTCCGGTTTACTTTTAAGGTGATTACAGCACCCCTTATAATTTTCGGACAAGGATATCTCAAAAAGCGATTTGGTTAAAAAAATTGAAATTTTGACAAAATAAATAAGGTAATTTAGATATGCAAATATTTTTAAAGTTTTAATTCTGTCCAGTTTCCGAGAAAATACAATCAAAGTGCCTAAAATTTTAAAATATCATAATGATAATAAATGCATATCTCAACAGTACTATCCTTAATATAATCTCCAAATTTGAGTTCTTTATGTCTTGTTAATGATTTTTTGAAATTCGTCTAAATTAGTGGCTAAAACGGCTCGTTAAGTGCTGCCTTCTGGTGTAATCCGTCTGTAACTATCGTATCGTACACTCTTAGTCATCATTCGTTTCGAAAGCGTACACCAGTTTACACCAGAAGGCAGCACTTAACGAGGCGTTTTAGCCACTAATTTTGACGAATTTTAAAAAATCATTAACAAGATTTTAAGAGCTAAAATTTGAGGATTATGTTAAGAATAATGCTGTTGGGGAATGTATTTATTTTCATTATGATATTTTAAACTTTAAAGCTCTTTAATTTTTTTTCTCGGAAATTGGAAAGATTTAAAACTTTAAAAATTTAATATATTTTGTCAAAATTTAATTTTTTTAACAAAATAAGTTGTTGAGATATCGTTATTCGAAAATTATAAGGTCACATTTTTCTATATCAATATATACAGGGTGTTTCTTAATGATATGCGAATAATTAAGGGTGTAAATCTACATGAAAAATTAATGATAGTTTGTTTTAAAAACTGTGGCCCAAAAATGTTCCGTTACAAAAATACAGGGGGCATGAGACATTTCAGTGCTATTTATTATATATATATATATATATATATATATATATATATATATATATATATATATATATATATATATATATATATATATATATATATATATATATATATATATATAATTTTCAACTTTAACAGTGGCGTGCGTACGGGCGTACCCTTAATATTTTTGAAAAAAAAAAGATACATCAATGGTTTTTTTCCAGCTAAAAATTATTTGAGTAATTATTGAAGAGTAAAGAAAAAAATTACATTTGGGCCATAGCTTTTGATAAAAATTGTTGATATTAAGTGTAGCCTACCACTTATTATGTTAGTATTGATAAACTCTATTTTTTTTTAGTTGGTGTTAAATAACAACAAACATATAAATAAAAGTATGTTTTATGATTTTCTACACTCTTGGCTTGGATCCGGACTTTTAACAAGTGGAGGTACAAAAACAATTTTAATACTAATCGTCATTTTTGTACTTAATTTCTAAACAATTTCAGGTGCCAAGTGGCACAAGAGAAGGAAAATTTTAACTCCAGCTTTTCATTTTAATATACTACAAGAATTTATTGAAATTTTAAATAGAGAAACTCAGATTCTAGTAGAGAATTTAAGCAAAATCTGTGATCAACCTTTCGTCAATGTTGTGAAACCTATAACGGAATATACATTATTTTCAATTGGCGGTAAGTATTATCAATTTAAAAATTATTGATTTGATTTGGAATTGTTTTATTTCATCATTAAAAATTATTGCTCAAAAAAATGTGCTACATTGTACCTATATGTTTCAGATATAAGTTCATGGTAAAACGCCTTGCCTACAGTATAGTCTATGTAGATAATAGAGTTAAAGACTAAGTACACTGTATATCATTTATACGTATTTTCTTATTTCAGTTTTTGTAACTTCATAGTTTTGTTTGTTTTTAAAAAAAGGTGACCTCGTTACTAGGATAGGTAGAACACTGCAAAATAAGTTGGGTTTGCTCAGTAAAAAATTTTAGTTACGACATCCGTTTTCAAGATACAGGGTATTGAAAAAAAAATTATACACATTTTTACGATTTTGTACCAATACGTTTTGAAAGTTGACACATCATCTTAATTTATTTTAATATCTGTCTCTCATAGAGGGCGCTAGTTACACGGTTCGTACCGAGTAGTTTTAAACAAACAAATTTTATGTGAACTCAAACACCATTCAATATTACACCAAAAATGTACTCTTGGAAAAACTCTATACTGTCAACCGTTTTCGAAATATTATTAATTGAAAATGATGAAGTAATAACTGATACTGGTATAAAGTATTTTTAAATAACAATTACCTATTTATTACAAACCAAAAACAATATCATTATTCTAATCCTAATAAACAAACAATCACAAGAAGAAAATTAAAATAAATTTTTAAAAACATGAAATATTTAATCAGTTAGAGTGTTTTCAAAATGTCCTCCTTTAAAAAAGTTTAGGGTTCGTCGCAAACCCCAAAAGTGTTTTGTCTGTATATGTTAGACGTTAAAGTATTTATATAAAATAATAGTTTTGTAGTGGAGTAGGGGACAGAAATGCTATTGGCGCTACTATATTAAAATTTATTTCGCAGCCAATACGAAAATGTAAAACCTAAAAAACATTTGTGGCACAAATATTTTTTTTTTAATAAACTAAAATAATGTAAATAATAATTTTGTAATTCCAGATCGCAAAAATTTTTATATAGTAAAAAAGTTATAAATAACTATAAAAAAATTCCATATCCAAAATATATTCCTTCTTCTCCTCTATAACTTCTACTTCTTCAGGGCCATCGTAAGGATTTAAAATGATTATAACCGTCTGTCAAAATTCAGCCTTTTATTCAATCCGGATCTTCGAGAAAAAAAAAATGTCAAAAAAGTAGCAGCAGTTTTCTTGATTTACGCGAACAAAAAATAAAAAGGTAGATTGGCGTAGAACTACTGAATAAAATAAAAAATGCTTGCTAGGCCATTCTCTTATTTGAGAGTTATATAAACACTAGGTGTTGCCCGCGACTTCGCACGCGTGGAGTTGTGTTTTTAATATGAAAAATGCATAACTGCCAAAAAAGAAGGGATAATTAGGTTGATAAAGGTTCATGGTATGTATGTGATAGTAGGTATTATACAGGATGTTTTTTAATATTGCGAAAAAATTCAGAGGCGTGTCCTTTGGACAAAATGAAGCAAAGAAGTTCCTATGAACATATGTCCTATGCCTCTTAGATTTTGAACTACAGGGTGGTAAAGTTATAAGAAAATAACTTATTTTTTGCGATACATTTAATACTCCTGTAGATATTTTTCTGAAAATTGTTACGCAGTTTCTATGCATACAAAGCCATTTTCTGATATACAATTTAAACTTTTTTATTCGCCATTGGCGTTCATGCGGGCTTTGAACTGAATATTTCTTTAAAAAAAAACGGTACGCCACTGGTTTTTCTTGTATTAAAAAAAAAACATTTTTAAATTCTTTGTTTCTTTTATAGCATATCTTGTCTCTTGGTCTTTTTTCGTTTGATGCATGGTTTTCGCATAAAAAAATAAAAACCATTTTCCTGCAATGCCCTATCCTTAAAATTTAATTTTTTAATTTAATAGTAATTACTGTATTTTTTATTTAGAGAAAAATAATGCATTGCAATTAAAGGTCCTTGAGTTTGAAAAAAGCATTTTTTGTGAAGTTACTTTTGTCCGGTAAAAAATTGAAACATGCATGTCTGATAAACATTAAAAATAGAATGTTTTTCATTTAAAACATTTAAGTACATACTTTACGGTCTAAGTGCGGTCTATCTTTTTACCACATTCTTCTCTTCTCCAAAAAAATAAAGTATTTGTTTGCCACCAGTTTTTATGTATAATCATTGTTTTCATCAAATGTCAGTTGACATTGGCATCAGTCAAATTATTCAACGTCGCTGTTTTGGTGTAGAAGTTACAATTAAAGAAATGTATAATTACACAAATAATGAAATGTGCGATATGCACTTCATTTATGGGCTTGCTAACGGCAACTCACTAGAAGCCATGCGTATTTATGCTGAACGTTATCCCAATCGCGTTATTCCCCATCACTCTATGTTTACTCGTTTACATAATCGCCTAAGTGAAACCGGCAGTTTTAAAAAACTTACCAGTGAAAACGGACATCCACATCCACTCCTCAAATGGAAGAACAGATGCTCAATGAAATCGAGGAAAGCCCTACCTCAAGCACTAGAAAGATTGCTCAGACGTTACACATTAGCCATTCCACAGTTTGGAATATTTTTAAAAGGAATCTGTTATACCCCTATCATATTCAGCGTGTGCAGGCACTTTTGCCCGACGATTTTCCAAGAAAAGTGGCTTTGTGTCATTGGGTGCAAGAACGTATGAGGCAAGATGCACTGTTTTTGAGAAAACTACTCTTCACCGATTAGGCTAATTTATCCAGGGACGCAATCATGAATTTCCACAACAATCGCATATAGAGTGATGAAAACCCACATGCCGTGTTGGTAGGCCGTCATCGACACCAGTTTTCGCTCAATATATGGGTCGGAATAATTAATAAGTTTCGGATAGGTCCATTTTTTGTACCGGGAAGGTTGACTGGAGAAGTATATCGTGGATTTCTTGAAAATGATTTGCCAACACTGCTTGAAGAAGTTCCTATTCAGCTAAGACAACGAATGTTCTTTTTCCAGCGCATTTTAGTTTAGTTGCTCGGCAGTATTTGGATATTACATATCGAAATCGTTGGATAGGTCGGGAAGGTACCCAACCGTGGCCCCCACGGTCTCCCGACTTAAAGCTGCTTGATTTTTTTCTGTGAGGCCACCTTAAACATCTGATTTACAGAACTCCAATTGAAAATGTGGAGGAATTGCGGAATCGCATTATAGCGTCTTGTGATTTAATACGACAGACCCCAGGAATTTTTTAACGTGTCCGCCAATCAATGCGACGTAGACTAGGCGCTTGTATTGATCTTGGAGGTGGACACTTTCTACAACTTTTGTAAACTTGTTAAGTATTTCTTGAATAAATAATTAATAAAAAAAAAATGTCTTATTTTATTTAATCACTTAAAAATTGTAATATTTTAAGAAAAGAATGCAGGAGCAATGCAATAAAATAATAATAATAATAAAAATAATAATAATAATGGTAATTAAATTAATAATTAAATAACATATTCAGATTTAGGCGCTATGGATATCCATAAAAATGGTTTTTATTTTTTTGTGCGAAAACCGTGCATCGAGCGAAAACAGATCGTGAGACCAGATATGCTTTAAAAGAAATAAATAATTCAAAAATATTTTATATTACAAGAAAAATCAGTGTCGTACCATTTTCTTTTTAGAAAATATTCAGTTCAAAGCCCGCATGAACGCCAATGGCGAATCTAAAAGTTGAAATTGTGTATCGGAAAATGGCTTTGGATGCATAGAAACTGCGAAACAATTTTCAGAAAAATATCTACGGGGGCATTAAATATATCGAAAAAAATAAGTTTTTTCTTATAACTTTACCACCCTGTAGTGCAAAATCTAAGAGGCGTAGGACATATGTTCATAGAAACTTTTTTGCTTCATTTCGTCCAAGGGACACGCCTCTGAATTTTTTCGCAATATTAAAAAAACACCCTGTAGATTGGAGTTAAGTAGAGTTATCTAATATTTAAGAAAGTAATCTAATTGAAAATAATTATAACAATTTTGATTATACAGGTCTGCATATACAACATTCCTCCCTAAATAAAATTCAGGTATGATTGACAAAGTAGAATATTCGCAAATTATTAAGAGAAGATTGACTAAGTTAAACCTAATCCTAAAATGCACCTTTTATGTTTTAGACGTCCTAACAGCTTTGTTAGAATGTCAGCTGACATATTTTCTGTTGGCAAATATTGTATATCAATTATAGTAGATACACTACTTAAAGATAGACTATACAGATTCTGTGACACATAGGAAATTCAATGTGTAAGAGTGAGAGGTACATATTCAATGGATAAGAGTGAGACAGACGGTCTGAGGGGAAAACGGGGTAGTGGGGGGAGTGGGGGATTAAATTTCGTTTAACGTCGAACAAAAAAAGCATGCGTAGAACGAAAAGCCAGAAGAGCCTTAGCGTGTTTCTCAGCTATCGTTGGTCTGATTTAAACAGGGAAAACGGGGTTATGTAGAGAACGTGGTATAGATTAACGTCGAAAAGAAAAATCATGCGCAGTGATAGGACAGAAGGACCTTAGCGTGTATCTCAGTTATCATTGGTCCGATTCAAACCCCTATCATGTGGTTTTAATTTATAATTTTCTAGAGGAGTAGAAACTGATTTGCAATCCTGCATATTGAATCGCTTTAAAGTTTCCAAAATGTATGTTCTTTGATTTATCTTTATCGATTGAGAAATATTGATTTTACTCTTTTTTAACAAAGAAGTGTTATCCTTAAAAAAAATTATAAGGTCATCAACATAAACTGCAAGTATAAGTATGTCTTCATTAAACCTTTTAGTGTAAACACAAGGTTCTGAAGGAGTTTGTAAAAAACCCAAAGAAGATGGAGTTTCATTTAGCTTTATGTTCCATGAGCGTGTTGCCTGTTTCAGCCCATAAAGAGATTTTTTCAGCAAGCATACCTTACATTCTTCTCCTTGTTTGACAAATCCTTCAGGTTGGGCCATGTAGACTTCCTCCTCTAATTCTCCGTTTAAAAATGCTGTATCAACATCTAAGTACTGCATTTTTAAATCCCTTTCTGCAGGTAAGTCCAGGATCCGTAAGTAAGGTCGGCCTTCACCCATCTGTTTAATGGATAAAAGTTTTTTTTATTAGATAAAATATGTTTTTAAATATACCGCAAATGGGTTGCCTAAAAAAATACGGCCACGGCCGTTTTTTGCTTTCCTTTCTGTGTACAGATGAGAAAAGAATAGGAATCATGATAACAGTTGCTTATGATGTCATTCTCTACTATTTTGTCCCTATTTATTAATGATTTCCCTAAAATGGACCTAATTCGAGATATTTAAGAAAAATAGCAAATTTCGAATTTTGAAGACAACTCAAAAACGGATAAAGAGAAAAACACAAAATTTTAAACTTAGGCTTTAATATATCCTGCGGTAGGCTGATTAAAGTTTGGGCATAATCGAAGCATCTGGGAAATACTTTACAGGGTGTTTTTTTGTTATTTTTAGAAAATAAATACTCTGGACCGTATTTTCTTGGGCAACCCTTTTGCGATATATCTATAAACATAATATTAATAAAAAGAAACTTTCATCCGGTAAATAGATGGGTGAAGGTCGACCTTATTTCGGATCTTAGACTACTAGGGATGAGTTGCGAACAACTGGAAAGAATGTCTCATAGTAGCTTTGTATTTTACTATTTGGCCTTCAGCATTTTTAACCGACTTCAAAAAAGGAGGAGGTTCTCAATTCGTCGCAATATTTTTTTTATGTATGTTTAGCGATAATTCCTTAAGACGGTGTCTGATTTCAATGATTTATTTTTTGTTAGAAAGGGGGTACTTCAAGAGTGGTCCCATGTAATTATGGTCAAAATCTAATAGTTGGGTCCATGAGAAAATCCTCAAACTCTTCATTTTTTAAGTATGTTTAGCGATAATGCTTTACCATCTTGTCCGATTTATATGATTCTTTTTTTGTTAGTAAGAGGGTACCTCAGGGGTGGTCCCTTATAAATTTGGTTAAGATGTGGCAATGGCATCTACACGTTTTTGAAGTCGGTTTTTTAAATTTTTAATTTCTAATACTTGTTCTTTAGTTTGTAAACCAACTTGCAAGGAATAACTTGTTTATTAGGTCTATTCACAAGCATCCAAATTCCCTTATTTATTAATAAGTCATACTCATCTTTCATTGCAGAATACCAATACTTATTATCTATTGAATTAACAGCTTCTACAAAATATCGGGGCTCATTAAAATATTCGCCCGCTGTGACATTACAAAATAAATTCACATCAATGCGGTTAGCTATTTTGTATCTGAGTGGATATCTTTCTCCTGCAGTTTCTTTATCAGAAATATATTCCTCAACTATTGAGGATTCTTGGGGATCCTCGCAGATATCAACCTCTGCTAAACTTGGAGCAGCTATTGGTTCTGGAATAATAGAATCATTTGCAGTTAAATCTGATGAATAAATCAAAACTACGGATGCAGGTACGGGCTCTATTAAATGCTTTGCTGAGCTGCACTCTGGGTTTGAAAGCTTTAAATCAGAGAAGGAGTCTTCAAAGAAAACAATGTCTCTTGCTTTAGTTAACCTTCTTGGAGAACAAGGATCACGAAAATAGTAACTTTTTGGATCATCTGTATATCCAACGAACATATGTTGAAGAGACTTTGGATCTAGCTTCTTTCTAAAACTAGAATGAATCTGAACTAAAGATCGACACCCAAAAAGTCTCAAATGAGATAAGTTGGGTTTTCTATCATACCATCTCTCAAATGGTGTTTGACCATCGATAGCTCTATGTGGAGACCTATTTTGTAAGTACGTTGTAGTTTCCACAGCATCCTGCCAATATGCTTTAGAGAGATTGCTATCCGAAAGCATAGAGCGGGGGCTTTTCATATGATAGATCTGTTCGTCCTTTCAGAAACACCGTTCTGCTGGGGACTATATGGAACTGTAGTCTAATGTTGAATCCCTACTGACGCTAGATAATTTGAGAATTCTTTAAAGTCCCATTATCAGACCGCAATACTTTAATTTTTAATCCCGTTTCTCTCTCAACCATAGACTGCAAAATAAAAAATGTATTCTTTACTTCAACTTTTGAAGGGACAAAATAAATAAATACCATCCTGGAAAAATCATCTATGAATAATAAAGCATATTTATTACCTTGAAAGGAGTTTTGTGACATAGGACCACAGAGATCCGAGTGTATCAGTTCTAATTTGAAGTAGCTTTCTTATAAGTAATTTTCTTAAAAGGTTTTCTCGACTGCTTACCTTCAATACAAGCGATACAGGTTTCCTTATCAACTTCTGCATAATCTATGCCAAGAGCATTACCTTTCTTAAGTGCGTCCAGTCCTATAGGACACAGGTGACCTAGGCGTTTATGCCATATTCTATAATCAGCACAGTCGGAGTACACACCGAAAGCTGTTAGTGTTTGAGGTAGATTTACAGTACAATCTAAAGTGTACAATCCATCACAACACGAAACTGTGTAAAATAGCATTTCCTGTACAAGAAAAATTATGAGAATTATAAAAGTTACAACCATTTTTATCAAAAACAATAATAAAATTCCTTTCAATAGCCTTTTATTTATTTTTATTTATGTTTATTTATGTTTATTTATTTTTATTTATTTTTATTTATTTTTATTTATTTTTATTTATTTTTATTTATTTTTATTTATTTTTATTTATTTTTATTTATTTTTATTTATTTTTATTTATTTTTATTTATTTTTATTTATTTTTATTTATTTTTATTTATTTTTATTTATTTTTATTTATTTTTATTTATTTTTATTTATTTTTATTTATTTTTATTTATTTTTATTTATTTTTATTTATTTTTATTTATTTTTATTTATTTTTATTTATTTTTATTTATTTTTATTTATTTTTATTTATTTTTATTTATTTTTATTTATTTTTATTTATTTTTATTTATTTTTATTTATTTTTATTTATTTTTATTTATTTTTATTTATTTTTATTTATTTTTATTTATTTTTATTTATTTTTATTTATTTTTATTTATTTTTATTTATTTTTATTTATTTTTATTTATTTTTATTTATTTTTATTTATTTTTATTTATTTTTATTTATTTTTATTTATTTTTATTTATTTTTATTTATTTTTATTTATTTTTATTTATTTTTATTTATTTTTATTTATTTTTATTTATTTTTATTTATTTTTATTTATTTTTATTTATTTTTATTTATTTTTATTTATTTTTATTTATTTTTATTTATTTTTATTTATTTTTATTTATTTTTATTTATTTTTATTTATTTTTATTTATTTTTATTTATTTTTATTTATTTTTATTTATTTTTATTTATTTTTATTTATTTTTATTTATTTTTATTTATTTTTATTTATTTTTATTTATTTTTATTTATTTTTATTTATTTTTATTTATTTTTATTTATTTTTATTTATTTTTATTTATTTTTATTTATTTTTATTTATTTTTATTTATTTTTATTTATTTTTATTTATTTTTATTTATTTTTATTTATTTTTATTTATTTTTATTTATTTTTATTTATTTTTATTTATTTTTATTTATTTTTATTTATTTTTATTTATTTTTATTTATTTTTATTTATTTTTATTTATTTTTATTTATTTTTATTTATTTTTATTTATTTTTATTTATTTTTATTTATTTTTATTTTTTTTTATTTATTTTTATTTATTTTTATTTATTTTTATTATTTATTTTTATTTATTTATTTTTATTTCACCATTTTCCCACCTCTTAAAATGTGAAAATCCAAAACCCTAGAACAAGTCGATATTTGTTTATGGTGAGTAGCTACAATATCAATTTTTAAATTCCAGCCTATAAAAAACCTAAACCCCATACACACTTTCAGCCCCTGTTTACCCCTTTAAAAAAGTGGAAAATCCAAAAACCCTGAAATATGTCATTATTTATTTATGATGAGTAGCTACAATTCCAATTTTCAAGTTCCTACCTTTAAAAAAAACCGATACCCCCACACAAATTTTCAACTCCTGTTTCCTCCTTCCACCCCTATAAAAGGTAAAAGTAAACCTTGGAATACATCATTATATATGATGGTAGCTACAATACCAATTTTTTTTTAAATTCCTACCTTTAAAAAACCGATGTTTCATTACAAACAAAAAAAAATCCTTTGATAAGCAACTTTATTTTGAATTTCACAGATCACATGACCACTTCCACCACCCGGATATAGTACATGTTGTTCATTCCCTCTCTTGTACCCAACTACAAATGAAAATGAAAAACAATTAGAAAATCGGTAGCACTAGCATAAAAAACGTACTTTTTATTGTACAAAAATTGTTGAAATTATTATTTTTTTTTTTTTCAGAAACTTCCCTTGGTGTTCAGCTTCGTGAATATTCAAATTGCTCTCAATATAAGCAATCTGTATATGATTTCGGTGAATCTTTTACATACAAAATAGCCCGTCCCTGGTTATGGATTCCTGTCATCTATAAATCAAGTCATAGATATCAGAAAGATAAGAAAACCGTAAAAAATTTACATGATTTCTCAATGTCTGTGATCAAGGAACGACAAAAGTTATTCACTGAAGTTAAAAGTAATGGAAGTTATTCGGAAAGAAAAAGGTTGGCTTTATTGGACCTGATGCTAAAATCTTATGAAAATGGAGCTGATATTGACATTGAAGGAATTAGAGAAGAAGTGGATACTTTTATTTTTGAGGTTGATTTAATAATTTTATGATCTAATTTTAGTATCATTAGAAGTGATCTCTCCAGTACTAAATATTTTAAGAACACCTTAAATATATTTAATTCCTTTTTAGGGGGTGGGTGGCTCAGTGGTAGAGTCTCTACCTGTGGATCCAAGGGTCCCAGGTTCGAATCCCACCGTTGGCCGGGATTTTTTTATTCAATTTAATTATTTAAAATTAATTCTGATGCCTTGGTAGGATTCCCCACTCGACCATTCACTGTTGGGTTCTAATTAACAGTGCTGTTCCTAAAGTGGCGCAAGGAAACAGTAAGAAGGCCTGTCTGTAGGGGTGTAGGAGTATTAGAGTACTAATACTCCTGCACTATGGAGTATTAGACTACTAATACAATCCATAACCTACATAGAAAACACTAGGCTAATGACCTTAGATGTTGAAGCCGTACACCAAATAATAAAAAAAAAAATTCCTTTTGAGTCTTGGAGAAACCTTGTTTATTTTTTGTAAAGCTTTGAAAAGTATTTTGATCTTGTCAATACTGAATTTTTTAACAAAATATTCTTGAAAGAATGACTTCTTCGTCTGTCTGCTTATGATTTATAATATAACTAGTCATTTTTGTACTTTTTCTAATAAGAATATTATTTATTTTAGGGACATGATACTACTTCCGTATCACTATGTTATACACTGATGGTACTTGCAAATGAACAAAAAATACAGGTAAAACTAACTGTTAATATAAAAACTAACAGCAGAAATACAACCAATATCTCCGTTTATACCAATTTCCTTTTTTTATCATTTATAATTTAAACCATAGCTTTTAATCACAAAGAAAGTTGCATATTTTTAAATGTGAATTTATAGAGGTATGACACGATGGTTTATGATTTGTTTTTCTTTGGTTCTTGTTGCGTATTTAAAAGGATACACAATAATCGAGACAAGACTTTACAACAAACTTTATTCAGTGAAAAGTATTTAGTGGCAAAAGACGTTACAGCTACAGATACAGATTACAAATAATTTTTCAAATAAGCTTAAAACAATAATAAATGGAAAATACTAATATTATTGTGAAAAAAGCGTCGTGCGGTCGATGTACGAGAAATATGGACAAAACGCCCCACGCTTTTTTCGCAATAATACTAGTATTTTCCATTTATTATTGTTTTAAGCTTATTTGAAAAATTATTTTTAACTTTTTAGTTTGATATGATCTAAAAGCGTGTTTTTTAGTTTTTTTAAACTATATTTATTTTTCACTTTTTAGTTCGATGTATTATAAAAGCGTGTTTTTTGTTTTTTTTAAACTTTATTTATTTTTCACTTTTTAGTTCGATTACTTATTAAAAAAAAAAAAATTGTAAGTTGAAATTGCTGAAAAACAAAATTATTTTTTTTTCAGCCGTGGGGATTAGAACCCACGATCGGTGAGTCTGGCAATCGAAAACCCGCGCCTTAGACCGCTCGGCCACGAACAAACTTGACTTTATGCGATATACTGACAGTAATAAGCCACTTGAGTCCAAAGGAGAGTTACAAATATACATACAGGTGAAGCTAATATAAGCGTGTTAAAAACAACCTCGCACACGTCGAGTCCGACAAAAGACATGTACAGTTCATCAAATTTCTAGAGGTGTTCGACGTCCAGACAGAGAACGCGCTACGTGTGACTAAGATAGCTATTGTACAGTCGCTAAAATTTTAAATAGTTTTTAATATTTTTAGGTAATTAAATTTTAAAAGTGTGGAATAGTTTAGGGATTAAATTGGTCTGATTGGACTTTCTTAGAACGTTTTTAAAAGCAGCTAAAGATAGTATGTAGAATTGAAAATAATTATTATGCCATAAAAGGTGTTTTGGAATTCCTTCAACCTTTTGAAATTGAGTCAGAAAATATAAATTTTATAGGATAGCGGAAAATACCTATAATTTTTTTGTAGGCCTTTGTAAATCGTGGAAATAGTTTATATTTTATTTCTACCTTATTAAGGAAAATGGTACCTATTATTAATAACGGTTGTTTCTGAAACATTACTAAAATTTTCGAAATTTTGTTTTTCTACAAAATAATAAACTATACTATTTAGAAAAAAATTTATTTCTCTTATAATTTTATAAAAAATAACAGGAGAATATTTACATTTCTTGATCTATTAAACAAAACGATAAATTATCTCGACGAATGACACCATGTTCTAGTACGGAAGCTAGCTTTACATTTTTGTTGGTGGTTTCATGGGTTTCATATCAATTTTTTGTAATTGTAGTTTACACGTACATATACCTCTTAACACTTGTTTGCTTTATTAAAAAAGTGTGTTGTTGTGATTTACGTCGAAATAAGTCAAAAACAACTTGAAACCCCATATAAAATCAAAAAGGAGAAACGGAAAAAAATTGAGCCTGTAAATGAACACAACTCAGAAACAAAAATAGCTATCTAATAATAAAAAAATAAAATTTGATTCTTGTGCATCTTCGTTGTAAAAATAGATAATACTTTTTTGATCTTAGGTACAGATATAATTTTAATGGTCTTCCGAAAAACTTTCTTCAGATTCAAAATCAGTCTCACTGTCACTGTTTAAGTTAATTATAAATCTATCAGTTGCCTCATCCAAAGTAACTTCTCTGTCTTAAAATTTAGATTCCCACATTTTAACATTATTACAACGAGATTGCCACTCCTCTTTAGAAAACGTATCAAAAAAGTCTTCACACAACAGTTGTACGTCTTGCCTCTTAAATGTAGTGTTGTTACTAGCTACATATTGTTTCAATGATGCCCACACTAATTCGATCGGATTAAGATCGGGATGATACGGTGGCAAACGCAAACAACTAAAACCATGTTCATTTATCATTTCTTCAATTGCATACCTCTTAAATCGTGACTTATGCAATAGCACTAAACTGTATAATTGCGTTTTGAGCATATCCTCTTCGTAAGCAATATTATGATTCCTTAACCAATCCTGCATGTCAGCTTTTTTAGAAGTTGACGTTGGTGCTTTATTTACCTGGACATTATGGTAAGGAGCATTATCAACAATAATGACGCTTCTTGGAGGGAGGTTCGGAAACAGCTTTTCTTTCAACCATTTAGAAAAATTATTAAAATTCATTTCATCGTGGTAGTCTCCATTTTTGGTTCCAGATTTGAAAATTAACCGGGCATTCGGAATAAAGCCCATTTCACCTCCTGCATGGACAATAATTAGTCTATCACCTTTATTAATTGGTTTCTTTAATCCCTCATTTGAATTATCACTCCAAGCTTTCTGGTGTTTGTGGGAGGCATGAATGTATGTTTCATCTAAGTAGACAATTGGACGGCCCTCTGCTCGATAACTTTTTAAACGAATCAGATAGTCTAAACGTAGCTTTTGAATATCAAACCTTTCCATTAATATTTTTCTGTTTGTTTTTGTTTTCCGCCAACGAAATCCTAGCGACTTTATTATTTTTCTTAAACTTTCATAGCTTCCTTTGTACCCTGTAGCTTCTCTAAATTTAGTCAGAATTGTTTTTAATGTTGGAACAATATTTTCCGAGATTAACATGAACAGAATAATTCTTTTTAAAATACCTTTGTCAGCTTCATCTATATCATTAACTGTTTTTGGTTTTTTAATGGTTTTTCTTGGTGATGAAAATTCCGATATCTCACGGTTATCGATTCTTTTTTTCTCTCCAGAAATGCGGACGACAGTGTTTTTAGATACTCCTGTGGCTGCAGCAACACGATCATTTACATTTTTAAATGGTATTGAAGGTGAATTAAAGTTTCCTTCTCTTCTCATAAACTCTATAACATTGGCTATTATTTCGCGAGGTTGACTGTTAATCATACGGCCTCTTAATTTGCTATTAAACTCCATACTTAGGTTCTATTAAACTGCAATGAGCAAAAAACACAAACGAAAATAAAAGAAATGTTTTAGCGAAATTTACATCTGACATTTACGTCTGAATAAAATAGTGAAATATTTGATGCGCAGAGTGTACTTTCATTGCGTAAATCCGTCGGCCCCGCCAACCGATGCCTCTCAGTAGTGCTTTCTCTGTCTAGCCGTCGAAAGCCTCTAGAAATTTGATGAACTGTATTTGAAGAAAGATTTAGTGTTGGCAAACTCTTAGTAATGCCAACCATTTAAATATAAAATAACAATTAATCTAAAACACTACAGTTTAATGACGTCACACAATTATAGTGAGATATATTGATATTACTCATTGTATAAAAAATAAAAGGTAGGATATCAACTGTAATAAAAATAGGATGGCTACGCTCATGACGTCACGTGTAAAGTTTGTATAGGCGCGAATTTAAAAATACTGACGAAGTGTAAGGACAATATAATATGTTATTTACAGAAATTTCATGAATATTAAAGGATAGTTTTTTTATCAACTAGTTGAAATATCTAAAAGGACATTATTATGGGAGAAAGCTACGAAGGAAAATAAATGCAAATACATAAAAGAAATATTTATTATAAGTAACAGTTTTTTTCTTTTTATTGATTTATTTTTGTTACACAAATTCGAATACAGGTTTTTAATTTTAGAGGACATTCTACATCTGAGGAATAGTTTTTATATTCAGGATAATGAGGAAGATATATGCACAACTCGGAACTTGTCAACTTGGGAACCTGGGTAAAAATTTCGCATCTGGGGACGCCGAAAATATTTAACTGATTAGGATTCGCAACAGTTGATTCATTTACATGCATTATATTTCCCAATTGATTAATACTTAACTACTTATTTGATAGAAAAAATGGGCTTTATGTACTGGGTGATTCATTTAGACTTTTTTTTATATGGTTTTTTCTTCACGTTCCTTGCCACTGGCCTCATACTGGCATCGTAATTTTATTCAGTATTGCTTGACAATTCGCTATGAACAGACTTACACCGCAACAGCGTCTACAAATTGTTCAGTTGTATTACGAAAATCAGCGTTCTGTGAAAAATGTTTTTCGCGCACTTCGAGCAACGTATGGTGTGAACAATCGACCTTCAGAGACCATTATTGCAAATACCATCCGCAAATTTGAGGCTCGGTATACGTTACTTGATGATACACGACCGAATAGACCGCAGCCAGTCCCCGTAATGAGGAGAATATTGCGGCTGTAGCAGAGAGTATGACTGAATACCATCAGCAATCAATTCGACGCCGATCTCAACATTTGGGCCTATCGTATTCGACAATGTAGCGAATTTTACGAAAGGATCTTGGTTTGAAGGCTTACAAAATCCAACTCGGTCAGGAATTAAAGCCACAAGACTTGCATTTACGTTTCAATTTCAGTCAATGGGCTCTGGAACAGCTTAATGAAGATTCGCTGTTTTATCGTCGGATTTTGTTTAGTGGCCAGGCATATTTTAGGCTCAATGGATACGTCAATAAACAAAATTGCTGCATTTGGGCCGATGAGCAACCCGAAGAGTCTCTCGAACTACCGTTGCATTCACAAAAATGCATTGTTTGGTGTGGTTTATGGGCTGATGGAGTCATCGGTCCCTATTTTTTTAAAAATGAGGCCGGACAGAACGTAACCGTCAATGGCGAGCGTTATCGCCCCATGATAAGACTTTTTATTGCCTGAACTTGCAGCCCGTGATGTCGGCGACATTTGGTTTCAGCAAGACGAAGCTACGGCACACACAGCGCGCGAAACAATAGCTTTAATGAGAA